ACATTGTAACATATACTGTCGTCTCATATTTTTTACTGTTTCTTCTCGAGACGGCTGTGCACAACTCTCTATTCAGGCCCCAAACCTACTTGTGATGAACCATTTCTGCTCTACGCTATTAGTATCGGATATATCCGATAAGTTGTAGTGAGACCCCGTATCAAAGCGAACGACGGCAAATTGGTTGCTTTTAACCTGTACATACTCGTTTCCGTATTCATTGAGGCCACTTTGGTTCCAAAAATGTGATGGGCTGTGGTGCATCGTATGACAGCACTGTTTGGTGTGCGCATGATTCACACACAGGAGGATACCGGGTGACTCCATCGACAGGTCCTGAAAATGCCAGCCCAACATACCTAGCTCCAAAGAGTGAATGCATCTGTAGGCTGTCTATGCTAATTCCAATTCGCACACTTTTGTCTAACCAAGCAATCGACCACATTTCACGTTTGATCACCATATATCGAGGTAGGTAGAAATACCAATCCACNCTTGTGCACTTCAAAATGCAAGTCATTTACAACAACAGTGCTGCAAAGTAATTCAGAGCCGAATGTTCACATTTAGATTACTGATGGTTGTAAAAATCAAGCGAAAAATTCTGGTGTCCGTATTTTACTATTAACCCACGATTTTCGTGTCCATGGGCAATTTTCCACGAAAAGATCAAAATCTGATACTTATACTAATAACATGAATCGAATACCGTGTTAAAAGCTGTCCTCGTACGTGATTCATAATAACGACCCAACAGCCAGAAGAATCACGGGGTGCACCTTCGCTGAAAGGATACACCTAATTTCACTTCGATAAACTTGGGCTCATTAGAATCAACTCGCAAACAAACAACAGACGATCACACAATCCTTCACGATACAGTGTCAATAGTTGATGCTGCAATTATTTCCGTAATTCCTAGTAAACCCCATGCAGTGAATACTTGTTCAGGTTTGTCGAGAACGCTTACCTTGGTTTGCTTTTAAAGAACTTCCGTTTGGTGAGGATAAGTCGTTTTGATGTATCCATGACTCCATGACGGAGCTTGTGGCTACTGTACAATGTGACACCCCGGTATCACTCGAAGATTTTTCTTCAAACATTTGACCTAGCATTTGAAGAGCCAAGTATTATCTGAAGGGTAACTGGGTGACGATAATCGCCTCGTTTATCGTCAGGATAGATTGGTGCATACTGCGATGTCAGACGAGGACTTACCACATGTTCAAACAACACTACTAATCTCCGTCAAAATAACCTCATTTGCAAAACCGGGTAAATTTGTTCGGCCAGCTCTTTCAAAATCAATCCATTGATGAATCCATCCTATGATTCGGTGTTTTTTGGGTGGGTAAGATACTATTAACCGCAACAAACGTGTCTTAAGCATCTTTATGAAATATTTCACAATAAGTTATTCATGAATGACTGGAAAACAGTTCCATGGAAGCACACCACCGGCTTCGCGGTCCGCTGTCTAAACAAACTTACCCAGTGTTGCAAATGAGGTTGTGTGACGAAACTACACTTCCTGGATGCAAGTATATGAATGAAAAAGACAAAAGACTACACCGGGTACGCACACCTAACGAGCAACAAGAGCCGCGAAACCGGTCGTGTGCTTCCGGTGGAATTTTGTTCAGTCATTCATATACTAACAATTGCAAAATAGCACTTATTCTTGGCCAAACAACCTAGTACGGTTCTATTGACTCTAGACTTCTAGTAACGTACGGAGTTACTTCTCAAAGGTTTAAACTAGCCTACAAGCAGGTAACGCTACTCATTTCAATCACGGTAAGCTTGAGAAACTTTGACTTTGAGCTCGTTGGATCAAACCAATTGGATTTATTCATTCTTGTGTTTGGTTATTTGACTATTTCGCTTTTTCCGGTTGGAATTAAAGTGAGTCTTCTAACGACAAGGAACACGCTAGATTTATCCATCACTATCACGAATTTTCACAGGAAGTAATTGTTTTCCTGTCTGGCTTCATGGATTTCCTTTCACAATGTCACATTCATGTCAGGAAAATTATGGTCTTCAAAATCTCGACCTCTCCTGGAATGGTATCGGCAATAATGGTGCATGGGCGATCGGGAACTGGTTAAAAGAAGCCGGACAGATGATCAGCTTGGACCTGAGCGCCAATCAGATCGGTTCTGTTGGAATGTCCGGTCTGTTTGTCGGTCTGGCCGAGAACGACACATTGAGACAATTGCTCCTCTGTCGAAATCCCATCCCAGCAGAAGCTGCACGAGAAGCTCTGAATGCACTGTCACACGGACTAACACGTTCCACATTAGAAATTCTAGATTTCCGGGTGAGTGCATTTGTTCGGTTCTTTCTACATACAAATGGCTTATTCCAGAACATTGAACTTGGTTTCACATTTGGTCAAGTGGTGAAAACTACGAAAGAATGCAGACCAAGCCTTTCATGCCTTTGGAGTCCAAGAGATAAACACCTCTTCGGCAAATTCTCACAGGTGAATACACTCTGATCTGTACGGTTTTACCTACCAATCCTTACTGTTTCAGGTCCCATCGGAAGTGAATTTGGAGGTGACCATNGCACTAGGATTGAAGTGCGATTGACAGAACGATGTAAAAAAAAAAGTTTATATTGCAGGTTGAAACCATATTGATTGGATCGGGAATTTCAGCCACTACCAAAATGAGGCAATTATTTGGTTCTAATGTGAATAATATACAATCATTTGAAAAATACTTTTCCAAGAATATTTTCATATTGATTAATATTGCTGAACATCAGAACCTTAAAACAGACGAAAACATTACGCAAAAATCTGTCCCATTGAATAAAATCGTGTTCAGTCAAATTAGCGAAATCAAATGAATCCATGTACTTGCATGAGGTTACCACAGACAAAGATACATTAGAATGAAAATTTATTAGTACCTTGTCGACAGCAATAGCATATAGTCTCCTATCCGCTACCTGTCTCGACAAACGTCGCGCGCCGTGGTAACCCATATGGTGACATGCACAACACATACCCCAACCAGCGTAATTTATGGAGGTCGACCACTTGCTAGAGTGGACGACCGCAATCAATAAAAACTATAGGCCTAACCTCAGCATTGCTCAACCGGTTTACCTACCAAACTCGTACAATGTGGCGTAGGCAGTGGTGTTCGAGTACTGACAGTCAGATTTTACCCTGTTCCCGTAGTGTTCAAGTCTCTGAACCCTAGAGCAGCACTGGTCGAAATGCTACAGCATACACTTCACCCTTCACGGACAGTCGAATGTCCCGGCGGTCCCACAGATGTCTCAAGTTGGCTAAGGCCAACTGAGCCTTCTGTATGCGTGCCGAGACTTGATAAATGATGTGTCCGCCATTTAAGGTGAGGTTGGGGGTTAGGCTAACCGAATCTTGGAGCAACATTTTACACTTTGAAGGTGCAAAACACATACCGAACCTGGCTAAACTAGCACTCAAATTATCCAGAAAAGCTTGCAACAAACCCGGATCTTCTTTTAATAACACAATGCCGTCTACATACTCCAGGTCCAACAGTTTGCCATCCAGACGCAAATCAATGCCGTTATCCTTGTACGAGGATAGGGTTGTTTCCATAACCAAATCTCTGACAAATTTAATTAGAAAGAGAGAGGGTAACCCTGTTGAACATCACTTTCTATGATGAACTCGGTCGGAAAGGTGGTGTTAGCTCGGACTCGACTTCGGCTATTAGTATAAAGAGGTTTCAAAAATGAAAATCTGGAGTACGCCCTTCAGGGAAAGGCAGCGCCAGAGTATACAGCGCTCGAAAACCGCTTTCAGATCGAGGAAAATAGAAATAGTAAGTCTATGAAGGAGTGTCTATGTTCTAGAATTTGACGAAGAGTGAAGATGTGATCGATACAACCTCGGGTAGGTCAAAAACCCGCTTGGTTCTCACGCTTGCACCGTCCATGTTCGGCAGACAATTGACGGAGTATATAGAAAGAAGTTTGGGGGCGATGTTGATTAAGAGAATTCCTTTGGTTTTCCCTTTTGAATTTACTGGTTTCACTTTCGTTTCATCAATATCTCGATTCTAAGTATGCCAATAATCTATAATGATTCTCGTCAGGATATGCTCTTGCTGAACACAGTGAATTTCGTTCTCCCGTTTAATTATTTGCTTGATGAGACTGACGATTATGCTTACATCAAAAAGCGCAAAAGAGCAGGATGACAGACTGCATTTGCTTGCTCCACTCTTGTCAAGATGACCGTGCCATTACTAACGCTCGCTCGCTATCCGCAAGGATCTCGGATTTGACCTCCATTCTGAACATGCATTAATTTCAACGTATTTTATGTGTACAAGAAACTTCGTTGAATCAAAACGTTGAGGACTTGCTCATGCGAATAGATGGGTTCGACTGCTACCGTCACGATGAGGGAAAAACTGGTGGCATGGCAACCTGCATCAATGCTTCGTGGTGCGGCAAATCAGAAGTGACAAAACCATTCTGATAAATGCACTGACTGCTTATCCTTCCGTTATCATTTCAAATTTTCGCGTTACAATGATCACTAATGTGTACATATTTGACAAAATATTGAAAATTATCAGTGTTTGTGAAGTGGCCACTTCACAAGCACTGATGATGTCATCTCGGCTGGTGATGAAACGTTTGTAAACAAATTGCCAAGCTCGGCGAACAGGCGAAATGGTGTACACATTTCCGCAGTGTTCTCAGACGGCAATCTCTACTTTCTTTGATTCTATATTCCTATAGTTCTATTAATAGATGAAAATACCGACTTACTTGTTGGCGATTTCAATCATGTAAGTGTTTCTTCTCCGCTTCCATTTGGGTCTGCCTGGCCTCTCTCATTGTTCCGCGCTGGTCAGTGGTCACAAACCATCTCAACTTATCTTCTCTCTAACTGATGGCCCTAGTTGCTACCGGTGACAATTGTAATCTTCTTGTTGAACCTAAGGCATACTCACGCACTGCTTATCAAACACTCATTCGTTCTAATCAGATAAAGTTTCACCTAAGGGACTTTTTACCCAATCGCATCTCTCTTCTCAACCGTTCCTTTATAATTATTCAATCTTGGTTTGATTCTTGCTTATCGCTGCATAAATTTCTTAGTCTTTTCACTGAAACGATTAAAGCTATCTTTCATTTGTGTTGCCAAATGAAAATCCTGTTTGTATGTGATGGTAGAATTACGTCGCCCTTTTTGAAATCACTGAGAAGGCACAAAGAAAAGGACTACAAATCTCGCCATGCATCAATTGTAAAGCACTATTCTGACTTAATAAGGTCTGAGATAATACATCTGAATGCAATCTTCGCCGCCCAAATTCTGCGAAAAAGGAACACCAGACTTTTATGGCAAGGCATTCGCCTTTCCCGTAGGTAGAGCGAAAAACACTCGAAAACTCCAATAAACGTCAACAGCCTCAACTTTGCTTGCATCCACCAGTCAAGTGACAGCCGGATGCTCTCCATCCAGTGCAATGAATCAAATTCAATACCTTTTTCCAATGATGAAATCTTGAATCTTCTTTGACCCTCAGCTGCAGGCCTTGATGGTCTTCCTTCGGCACTTTTCAAATTTGGAGCAGATTCTCTAGCCAAAATGACGTTCCTCGTTATAGAATCCTGTCTTCCCAGTTGATTCCTGATTCTTGGCGTCAAGTTACTATTATTACAACTCCAAAGTTCTCTTCTCCATCCATTCCGAATGGTCTAACTTCTCCGTAGGTAAAAAAGTACTGTGAACACTATTTTCCCATCACAAAGGTACCCATCGTCATTTCACTGCATCTGTACACGTGCACACTGCAATCAAAGTCATTTTGAGTCAGGGCGGTGGTAACGTCACCAAATTACCACCTCGGGGGACGTGTGTTCGAACCCCACCACCACCGCCTGACTTTCCCCATGGCAACCCTTTGATTGGCCGCTTCCCCTTTCCTGAAAATTGTATCATTGTATATTCAATAAAAGTAAATTAAAAAAAGAAAACCCGGTGGTAATTGACCTCAGTCAGATAAGGAAGGGAATCACGTCAAGATGGACCGATAAACCGGTCACCATGCTCAGGCGTGAATCACTGGGTCCAATCCAGGCTCTCAATAGCCTAGTGAGTAAACTCCGTTGAGTCAAGGGTTCCCTTGAATAACATCGATTCCTTTGGACCAAATGCAATCGCCCACTTAGCTCAGGCATTGAAAGCGCACTTGACAAGATACTTAACAATGGTACAAAAATACAGCGAAATAACCAACAGTACTTCACCTGAATAGCTAGATGAAATTCGAACTCATTCACTAGATAACAGGAAGTATTTTTTCATCTAGTTCCCCGATTGACTATTGCATTCTATCCACAATGCTAACGTGCCACCTATAGTTTCTCTCTTTGTTACTCAGCTTCATATTATTGTTTCATCATTTATTATCCTCGTTGCATCACTGCCTGATTACACCTGTGCAGCTCTTGTAGTTTGGTAAGTGAGAGATGTAGTAGTTATCCATAGTACTACAGATGATGATA